GACCCTTTTTGGCCCCGCCCTTCAGGCCCCTGGGGGCTTGGGACTAAACCGGCAACTATAGTTGTTGACCTTTGTCCATGGAAGGTCCCTGCAAAATCTCATTGAAATTGGTTCAGGGGTTTTGGAGGAGAAGATTTTTGAAATTTTAGTCAATTTGACCCTTTTTGGCCCCGCCCCTCAGGCCCCTGGAGGCTTAGGACTAAACCGGCAACTGTTTTTGTTGACCTTTGTCCATGGAAGGTCCCTGCAAAATTTCATTGAAATTGCTTCAGGGGTTTTGGAGAAGAAGTCGAAAATGTAAATTGTTTACGGACGAACGACGGACGACGGACGACGGACGACGACGGACAAAAGGGGATCGCAATAGGTCACTTGAGACTATGTCTCAGGTGACCTAATAAAATGCGGGTACCCACTTTTGCTTTTCAAGTTGACATTTGTCTTTACATCCTTTTGTTTGTTTGATGTCATTTCTGCATGTTTTATCTAGCTTTTAGATAGGTCGTTCACTCTTTTACAAACATATCATATTACCTCAAAATGTCATATTACAATTTTAACATTTCTACTGAACTTCATTAAACCTACTTAACATTATGAAGGTTATTTTTTCAATGAACTTTTCAGTTGGCGTATGAATACATAAGCATACTATCAACCTGATTACTCTGTTATTCCGCAGAGCGCCTAAAGTAGTTATATCAATAGATTGTTGTTGTGGTTTTTTTTTAGAAGTTTTTAATTGAATTTGAAAGAAAGAAAACCCATATTAATTTTTTTTTTTTTCGTTTTAATCATTGCTAACAAGTTGTTCATTTAACAAGGACGACGTCTGACGGTGAGTGATGACATCATAAGCTTCGGTACCTTCTGTGGTGTTACATGTTGTTTTTTGGCAGTTTATAAAATTTGTCTCAATACCCATTGAGCTTTATACCCGATAAACCTCAACAAACACGATTCAATCCTTAATTATACTGGGTTCCCGGACATGTGGGAATACCAGATAATGAAAGATCTCTCAAATGTAATGCTTTTAACAAAGGAACACGTCACAATTCAGGTGAATTAAGCTGTACTTATATAATTACACGGTAATCATCAACAAGTATACAGTGGCATGGTCTGCCAGTTTTCTACACTGTTAATTACACAAATCCATTGTACTAGTTGTAGCAGACACATACAATGTTGTAGGTTGATCAGTGTACATAAAGTCATTACATTGTGTACATCTCCCGATGAATCAACCACCTTTGTGGAGTTATGGGCTGGACTGGGTTTGGAGGNTTGGGGGGGGGGGGGGGGGGGGGGGGGTGGTATGTTAATCTAGCCATCCCTTATTCTAC